TCCTCTGGTTGTATAGAAGTCTATGAGAAAATGACTCTACTTCTCTCGATTTATTACCTCTGTAAACATGAGTTTAGGGGCGGGGCTACATGGTGATTGACAGGTCTCTACCAGAGACGTATACGGCGTCTCTACGTCACTCCTCAATTGCCAAGATGGCGACGCCCAAATCGACAAATTTAAGGCCTCATAACATCAGTCCACAAACAATGGGTGATGTCACGATGACTACGTCTACTTCTTATAAACAGTCAATGTCCATGACTCAAGAACTGAAATGCTAATTATCACAATTACTGCATTAATTCTAGTTTGTGATTCTCTGCCAACTTTATTTTATTTAACCCTTTTCTGAAACTCTTCCCATTGCTTCACTCTCTCTAGTTCTAGGTTGTTGTTGTTGTTGTTGTTTGGCGCTCAGGGAGACCAAGCTAATTGGAATAAAGACTGATACTCTCGCTCTGTGTCCGTCTGTCCAGGAGAAGATGCTGGACGTTTACTGGCTGCTGTGTGTTTGTATTCGGACCATCGAACACGCCGACAACACCGGCTCTCTGTTCGCCTTTTCTCCGGAGTTCTACCTCAGCGTGGCCATGAATGCATACAGCGCCCTCAAGAACTACTTCAGCCCTGCAAACAGCATGGAGGAGCTACCAGGTAGAAGAAAACACTCATTCCACCAGAAACATCGCTGACAGACGCTGCAGAATCGTGTTTTTAAGTTGTCTTCAGTGTCAAAGTCATCCAGTAATAGTTGTCTGTACATCTATGTTTACACTACGGACAGGAGCTGCTGATGGATGATTGAGCCCACTTTAAATGGAGACTATTTGACTAAATGTGAACAAATGTAGGATGAGAAGAATCAGACTAAAGTTGTAGCTCACAGATAACTCACTGAGTCCATGGCAGCATTCTACTTCCTGTTTATCCCCAAAAGGTATTGTGGGAAATGTAGTGCTGAAGACTTAAAGCATAGTTTATCTACCAAAGACTGGGTCGGGACACACGTTTTGGTCGCAGGAGACTTTATAAGGGACGCTAACCGTCTTTTATTTTACTTTTATCTCTGCAGTGCACCTTTATGTCACACGAGGGAGCCTGGATGTTCAATATTTGTAGCCTCCTTATAACATAGAGTTGAATGAACGTACGCTGGCCATTTTAATATTAGTTTGTTTAAATAACGGGAGTCTGTAAACAACTTCAGCTAAATGCATTAATTTGGTCCCATTTATAAATTTTCTGTATAAATATAAATTATATTATAAATAAATGTATTTTATTAAAATACATGTACACATAGAACATGTGTCTCTGGTTTAGCTCTTCAGGTTCATGAGGTTCTTAAGGTCTTTTGTGATTTGGTTTGATGGTTTGTCATTTTTTTTTATTTTTTTAAAGTAGGTCCCCAGAAAGTCTTCTGTATTTAAAGAATAATATAAGTGACATTAATATGTAATGTAATTCAATCTATAATCCATAACCTCTCTTGACGTCACTGGTGTGAGGAGCACAGATTGATTTATGGACGTAGCTCCACCGTGTCCTCATCACGATGCTGCTTCAGCTCTTCAGCGTGAACTGAAGCAGAATCCGGTTTGACTTTAACGCGTTCTGTCGTTCAGAACAACTTCTTCTTCTCGTCAGCACCACTTCATGTTTCTTTCTCGCCCTCAGGCTACGAAGAAACCCTGACGCAACTAGCTGCTATCCTCGCCAAGCACTTTGCTGATCCACGTATAGTGGGAACAGGTAACAGACGCACACACACAGACACACACCTGCACGCGCACCTGCTGATGTATATTTTTGGAACTGCAGGCTTGTGTTCATCAAGTATGCATGTCAGGAAATATGATGCCGGCAGCTCAACAAGAACACTAGTGGTCGTGTGAGGTGCACAAGATTATTGTTCAGATTCATTCTGAATTATCTGATTGTTTCTATTTCATTATTTGTGTTTTCTATTGTTTCTTCAGTAATATTTTTCACTCAAGAATTCATATTCTAATTGTGACAATTTCACACAGATGTCTCACAGATTAAAATGGTGAAGTGAAGACATTCATTATATTATTATATTCATGGACAGACGTGAATATAAACTCCAACATGAGGCATAACTAATGTACTACTTCTCAGAAAGTGAATTCTGTGTATTTTCTATGTATTACCAGTTCTACATATATCTGTAGGTCTGGGTGGTCTTTCAGGAATACGTGAAGTTTGTCTTGAATTGCCCAAAGTTCCTGGAAAGTAAAGCCCTGAAGACGACAGACTATAAGATACCAACTGTAGAAGAGTTCTACCAACCTACTGTAGAAGAGTTCTACCAACCTACTGTAGAAGAGTTCTACCAACCTACTGTAGAAGAGTTCTACCAACCTACTGTAGAAGAGTTATGGTTCTAGTGTTCTGTGTTGTCGTTGTTTAAAAGAATCTTCGTCCTCTCGTCCTCTCAGACATCAAAGACTCTCTGATGCAGGCTCTCGCCAGCTATGTCTGTTACCCACAATCCCTCAGGGCAGTGGAGAGGATCCCAGAGGAACAGTGAGTGCTTATTGGTTTAAAACTCTTCTCTGTTATCTTTGTGATTGGTCACTTTTCTTCATTCTTAATATTATTTTTGGTATTTCTTAATATATTCTGTGACAGGATTCACCAAAGACACACAGCAACACAAACTGATATTAACCTCCATCTACTGTAGTAATACACAAAGTACCTCATTCCACCACACTACAAATGATCCTTTGAGTACACTACTTTAATATACCGCTGAATAGTTCTCGTTGTCATGGCATTTAGACTCAACACAAAGTGGCTTTGCTCTTGTGGCAAAATGAAGAGATGTTGAATTGAACCCAGCGGAACGTGTTTTAATGAGCACAAGGCAACAAATCCAAAGTATTACTTCTTACGTTCTTACTCTTATAGTCTAACTTCAGCCCCCTTATGTCACTTTCCACCAATCAAACCAGTCTGTTGAACCTCAAACAAAGCACATCCTGCTTTACCAATATGTTATGTTCTTTTTTCTTCTTCGTCGGGATCGAGATAACAGAATATTTGATATACGTACGTGAAGTGTTTATCGTACTCGACGCCGTCATACTTCTTTCTAGGAACTGCTGACTTTCTTATTTCTAGGAAATCTGTTATAAAACCCACTGTGTTGTTTTCAGCATGGTTATATGTTTTTATTCAACAATCTGAGATCACTTTGTTCTTTTAATTCACTTTTAAAGAAATGTTGTTTTATTGTTTAATTTACAATTTTTAGCGTTTCATCTGTTTTTGTTGTTTTTTTGTTGCAGTTTCATTCGGTTTTATTTATTATTACGTTTCAGACGTGTCGCCATGATGAGAAACCTGCTGGCTCCGTACGAACAGAGACCCTGGGCCCAGACCAACTGGATCCTGGTCAGACTGTGGAGGGTGAGCACACGCACACACGGATACTTTTTCAGATTAATCTGAACTCTTTTTATTCAAAAAGTGTTTTAAAAAAATCAGTCTATAATATAAAACGCGGCAACTTTTTAATACCAGTATCTGTGCGAGCTACTTCAGTACATAAACAAGTACAAACAGAAAACATAGATCCTTCTGCAGCGCTTCAGAAATGTTCAGAAATCGACAAGAATAAGGTTTTCACACAGCAGCTCTGAGACATCTTCCTCTGCATGAATTAGACGTTTCCTCACTCATGGCTCCTCTGCTCTTACTCTGTTTACGTCACAAGAACACCGTTTTATTTCTGAATGCAGGACTTTCATTTAGCTCAACATTGTTGAAAACAGCGCAGCTCATATTGGAAGAACGCCTCATTAACGGACCGCCGAGCAAAAGCCGTCTCATTTTAATTAAACAAGCAATTTATTGTATTTTAGCAGAATACTGAACGGAGCAGAAAGACAGAAGTTTATTTATCTCAAGCAATATTAAATGTATTCCTTACTTATAAAGTACTATACTCAAATAACATTTTGAGATTAATAGTACTTCACTTGAATATTTATATGTATTGCTATTTTATATTTGACAGATTATTAATGGAAAATGTAATAAATTGATGGATTATGTTTTATTCTGGATTAAACTACCCAGGAGTATAAATAGTACTTAAAATGAGCTCCACCTTTACCAGCTGCAACATTAAAGTGATCAACACATTAATGCATCAATAATAATAATACTACAATATGATATATATTAGTCTGCACTGTGAGTACTTTAACTATATTTCTATGCTAATACTTTAAGTAACATCTTGAATGCATATTTGTACAGGTGATGTTACCATTGTAAAGCAAACCTCTGTCTGTCTCCGTGTTGTTTCTCAGGGTTGTGGTTTTGGATACAGATACACTCGTCTTCCTCACCTGCTGAAAACCAAACCTGAGGACGCCAACCTGCCCAGTCTGCAGAGTAGGTGGTCTCTCTGTTTTTCTGTAATTTATTCATCCGTTTGTTTGTGTTGCTTTTCTGTCTCCGCCGTTCTGTTTTGTGTTTGTTAAACTGTCGGTCAGGGTGAATGTGAATGAGTGAGTTATCTCTTTGGTGGACCAGTGAATGATGAAGGGGGTCTGCAGACTTCCTGTTGCCAGGATCACTTCCAGCACCTAAACATAATTAAGCTGAATTGTCTCACTTCTCTACATCCTCTACTTGTCAGTTTTGTTTTGTTTTGTTTTTCGAGTTCTTGTTCCCGGTTCAAGTCAGACTCCTCGTTCTCTTTCATGAATTTCTATAAATAAATTGAGACCGCGCCTGCTTTCCTAGACCAGGTGTATATTATTATTACTACATCTGTTTGATTTACGGCTTTAATTATCTGTGCGTGTCATTTATAAGTGTGTGGTGAAGGTAAGCGACGGTGGAGTGAGTGAGTGAAGCTGTCCGGCATGTTTCTGTATCAGGAGAGAGTCCCTGATGGTTTTTAAAAAGTCAAATCGCAGCAGCAATAAACCAACATGCCAATTTATTTTCTCGTTTATCTTCGTCGATAAAGTTCAGTCTTGTTTGGCACGCTGAGCGATTAGATTTAATTCAGAAATGAGGTGATTACACAATACAGTGATGAAAACATGAAACTTTGTTCTGTTCCTCTCTCACAGTATCTAACGTACTTTAGTTCATTCTGTACACAAACCTACACGTAAAATCAAGTCAGTTTTACGGAGGCCACGTGGCAAACTAGTTATTTGTATGTATGAAACAAGTGATGCACTTCTCGATTTATTACCTCAGTAAACATCGTAAACATGAGTTTATGGTCTCAATCTCTAGTTTCAAGTCTTCTTCCATACAGCATGATGTTCATTTAGTAAACGATGGTCCATTTAGAGTCTAATAGAGCAGGGGATGCTTGTTTTATGGCTTTATTTTGTGTTTATCTGCACTCTTTATTTTGTCTGTTTTGTCTTCATGTTGTTTTCTTCATGCTTCCTCGTGTTGTCGTCCTCTTTTCTTTGTTTCTTTCCCACTTAACTGATTTTCTGCTCTCTCCTGCATGATAATTCACTTTCGTCTGCATGCCTTTCAGGGGATCTGTCCATTGCTAGTTTCCAAAGTAAGTTATTTTCTCCATCGCTGCTGATTCTGCTTTCATCCCCCCTTTTTTTTTTTTCTTTAGGAAAATCGCTCACCTTTTGTTTCAGTCTCACCTGAAGCTCCTCCGTCTGATTCAGTAGATTTTAGATTGTAGAGAGTCCTGCATGTAAATATATATTATAGCTTAAAAAGTATCAAAAATAAATGCTGCTACTAAACTATTAATACTTAATTAACTACTTTCTATACAGTCAGCTAGATTAATATGTAAACAGTCATCATATATTTTGTATTTAGAATCTTGTTATTCCAGCTGTGGGATGTACATTGCAGTACAAAGTACATCAATACTCCTCTTGAGGTGCAGACGGAGTAGAATACAAAGTAGCACAAGTTCGTCTGAGTGTCGTGTGTGTTTGTGACCTCTGTCGGATAATTAACCGTCTTTCACGCCTCACATTCGATCCTTGTGGGACGGAGAGTCGGAGGGCAGAGAGGAAAAACCAATCTGGGATTATTAGATGTAATGAACACTTGACTCCTACCGGAGAGCGTCCCCTCGTCTCCTTGTTTGTCTTCCTCCTCATCCTCTGCTTTGTCCTTCCTCTGTCCTGTTAATCGCTTTCCTCTCGGGTCGAATATTTCGCACAATTTAAACAACAAAATAGAAACGAACATAACGGAGATAAATATGATCACAGAGCAGGAAGATGCAAAAAGCCAACTGGGCTTATTTGAAGCCTCCATTTAAAGTGTATTAATATTACAGAGAACATAAAATGAATATGCATCAGATATGACTACGTACAATAAGATGTTTTTACAAGGTATGAAATTACACAATATCAATACATTACAAACAACAAAAGGTGTAGTATTTAAAAATTAAAGTCCTTCAAATCACATTCATGAGACAATTTGTCTAATTCAGATTAGATTTTAGAGACTATGGTGCAGAGTACATCTTATTGAACATTGACCTGCTAGTGAGTCATTCAGGAGGGTGAAGATGTGACGATTGACGAGTAAGAGTGAAGCTGTGAATTGACTTTGAAGTCTTGAAATGACCAGGAATATTATCTCACAAATAAAAACGCAAGCTTGAGAAATAGACGTCATAAATAAGAATCTGCAGTTTCTGAAATAGAGGAGATGAGATGGCTGTTACTCTCTGAAAACAGAATATATAAGATTAGAATTATTAGTTATTGAGATCATTATATAAGCACGCAGAGCATTGATACTGTAACAAAAACTAGAATATTAGTTTAAATAAAACCTTTTCACTACATAGTCTGGTACTATTACAGGCAGCACAGGCTCGTAATAACATGACACGGGAGATATTAAAGTTCATAGAAATATGACGTATAGGATGCATTGTGATGACATAATAAAGAACATTTAATGTGTTATGTACTTTTAATTTGGGAAATGTAGCGGAAGGGTTTGATGGTGTAGAATAATGAGCTCTGATCTTTTGGGTTGTGGACATTGAACCTCTTTCTTAAACTTCAAAATAACCTTTAAACCTTTCTGCGTGATCGACTCCTCTGCTTCCACTCTGGTTTGTTCACCTTCTCTTCTCCCCGTCTGATTGGTCCAGAGCCGTGTCCGTCGCTGCTGCTGCAGAGACACATGGCGGAGCTGCTGAGCGTGGACAAAGACATGGCCGCCTCGTTCCTCAACAGCGTCCTGAACCAGCTCAACTGGGCTTTCTCCGAGTTCATCGGCATGATCCAGGAGGTGAGAACACGTTCACACCTCCAATGTGCGTCTCCACTGGAGTTTAACATGGAGCTCCATGTGTGGTGATCCACCGGGTCCTCCACTGTTGACGGTGAACTCATTGACTGTTCAATAAAGCGTTAGCGGCTTCACTGGAGTTGCAAATAAACCGTTGTCATTTTAAAGATGCTTTCTCATCTCTTAATTCTAATACTTAATATACAATGTAAATGCTTGCAGTGCGAAGAATAGTTTAACCAATAAATAATGCTGCAGGAGAAATGGAAAGCTTCAAATAGACCCTGTGATCAAACGTGTAAATATTGATTTGGAATATTTGCCGGAGCGTTAAACATTAACCTGCTTTGTGAGCTGAAGACCCTGATGAATCTAATGAATATAATCGCCGGATGTTTTTGGTTGAAGTTACATTTTAATAATAGTAGACGATAGAAAACGACTGTAAGTAGCTTAAGGTCAGATAAAAGTCCTTTATTTTTCTTTTTTAAACCAGTTTCTCGAGGGACGGTAATTTCGGGGGAAAGGTGCCGGAAAAGTAAACTGTTATTATGAAATGTTTTAGAATGAGTAAAAAAAAAACAGGCCTGATGATTGGAATGCGGGACAGGTTTCACCCCCCCACCCCCGGTGAGCGTTTGATTGACGGATGGTTCATCAAAGTGTTTTTTGAGAGCGCCCGCCCTTTACCAAACAATTCCCAGTGACTGCTTCTCGGATGGTTTTGTGTGAACAAACCATCGGGTGACTTAAAGGTCGGGCTACACTAATATTATTCGTATTAAACTATTTGACTAATTAGATTCCAGTGGTGTCTGCGTGTGAACCAAACATTTCCAATAAGTCCTAAAGTCAACATTTACTGAATAAAGGTGGATTTAATAATTCATCCGCTGCAGCCTCGACGTTTCAAATCCTCCGAGTTGGTTTTGACACCAGACTGTTGTGAACCCAACGAGCCGTGGAAGGACGGAGAAATCATTTACACTACAGAGAGGTGTCGCTCGTCAACACATAAGACTCATTTACTGGTCGGACAATTTTAACAACAAAATAAAAATATACAAACGTAACGGAGGCAAGTAGCCAACTGGGCTTATTTGAAGCCTCCACTTATATAATATTACAGAGAACATTGAATTAATATGCATCAGATATGACTACGTAAAATATTATTGACAAGATGTTTTTACAAGATATGAAATATGATAATATCAATACATTACAAACAACAATTTTATCTCAAAATACTACATTTTTATTTGTGTAATATTCAGCATGTAACAAGAGAATAAGTGAATCAACGTGGGGACAAAAACAAACTGGATTTAAAATTGTTCTCACTTAAAGTGTCGTCTGGAGTTATTAGTGTATTACGTAGCAGGGGTTTTATTTTGAAAGGTTTGTCAGAATTTTAATAAGACAAGTAATCAAACAGGTTGAGGATGTTTAAGTGTCTTTAAGCTGCTGGTCACAGATACAAACATGTAGTTTCTTTGACTTCCTGTCTCAGATCCAGCAGGCGGCCGAGCGTCCAGAGAGGAACTTCGTGGACACTCGTCAGCTGAAGGTGAGAACACAAACCGTGAGGAAGGAACCGCCTCGTAGCTTCACTCTGTTTCAATATAGAGAGGGAAGTGTAGACTGTTCACAGTGGGAACACCGAGTACACCGATCACCAGTGTGATCACATCTGACCATGATGTCACTGATATCTACGTTATTATAACATGCAGACGTTATGAAGAGCTCCTTCTGTGACAGGCGGCTTCAACATCAATGAAACTGGTGTGTGTGCGTGTGTGTGCGTGTGTGTGTGTGTGTGTGTGTGTGTGTGTCACACTCACTTGGTGTGTTGCTTCATGATGTAACGTGTGTTCTTCCAGGTGTGTGCGACCTGCTTCGACCTGTCTGTCAGTCTGCTGCGAGTTCTGGAGATGACCGTCACTCTGGTTCCAGAGATCTTCCTGGACTGGTCCCGTCCGTCTGCAGAGCTCCTCCTCAGACGGCTCGCTCAGGTAAGTCACACCTGGACTCTGATACGCACCGCACCTGGATTCAGGTAATTCAGAAAGAAGTAAAACATGGTTTTTCATGACGTCCTGTATTTCTGTTCCTCTGCAGTTGTTGAACCAGGTGTTGAACAGAGTGACGGCAGAGAAGAACCTGTTTGATCGAGTGGTCAACTTGAGACTGCCAGGTACGTGCACGCGAGCACACACACACACACACACACACACACACACACTCTTTGGGTAATTCTTTTATTTTGGTTTGTGTAATTGTACTTATCAAAATTATTATTAAAACAACGTGTAAAGCAATGCTGCCTGCAGAGATCAGTCAGTGAACGCTGTCAACAGATGATCTATGAGTCCATTTAACAGCTTGATGAAATACAAAGTTATTATCTTATTATAATTATTATTCTTATTATAAGGAACCTGATGTGGTGTTGGAGAGGTTGAAGTTAGTTTCCCGGTGCTTTGATCTTGTAAACTTCACTCAGTTTTTGAACAGGCTGTTAAAGGATCTGATGTGTTCCTCTTAATGACTGACAGCTTGATGGATGGATTTAGTTTTTATCTGACTCTGTAGTTATGAGGTAGAATAACTGTTTGTTTAACAGATAAATATCCAGCTATAATAATTCAGTGAAGTATCAGCTGTCAGTCGAGGACTCTCAGCACTGAACCTACAGTGTCTGCCTGTAATGAGGCTACAAGAAGCTTCTGAATGAGTCTGTATTCAGGCTCCTGAGTCCTTCACAGCGACCTGGTTTCTAATCTGACCCTGGACCTCTTTGCTGTATGTCTCTCCCCCCCCCCCCGTGTCTATTTTCTATTTTCGTCTCTACTTCTCTATCTAATAAAATCAACCTAAACTGAGTACTTGTGTGCTGCAGGTCTGGAGAGTGTGGACCACTACCCGATCCTGGTGGCTGTCACAGGCATCCTGGTTCGAATCCTGGTGGACGGAGACAGACAGGGGTAAGTTGTATTACCCACAATGCACCTGAGCAGGTGTTGTATCTGTCTGGATGAAACTGGTTTCCTACAGAAGGAAGTTTCACTACATTAGATTTCTTCTTGGTTACTTTGTTTCAAAAGCTTTTTGTAAAAGTGACTTTTTTCTGGTCGTGTTTGTTCTTTATCGGTCGTTGAGTTTATTTGGGTGATTTTACTGAAGATGATGAGAATAGAAACCTGCAGTGCTGCCGGATACAAACTGTGTACAGCTCCTCTCAATCACATGACTTGATTGTTAATGTTTGGTTTTATTTAGTGGTTGTAGTGTTCCAGAAATTCCTGAATTACATCTCTGAGGCTGACGTGAACAGTTTCTCGTAGTTATGGTCTGATGGAACGAGAGTTATTGTTTTCACCTAATGAAAAGTTAGTGTGTGTGTGTGTGTGTGTGTGTGTGTGTGTGTGTGTGTGTGTGTG